GTTTGGTGTGACGGGGATTCGAACCTGCGACCCTCAGATTACGAGTCGAGTGCCCTAACCACCTGGCCATGCCGTGCCGATAAAAAAGTACAAAAAATGCTCAACAAGCCGAGTGAATAGTTTTTAAGAGTGATTCGTACTTGCTTCTAAAAGCGGCATCTTACAGATAAACAACATCTACCAAGGCAACGTTTTCTAAAGTGATATTCAGTACAATCCATAGCCGCTAGGCGATAAAGTTCAAGCATCTGAACATTAAATGAAATTCCGAGCCCATCAGCAACTAAACGAACACGTGTAATAACAGTTGTTTACTTTCCCAAATAACAATCGCGGTGTCATAGATAAGACGTAACATCCACCAGCTGGTTTCAACATTTTGCTTCCAATTGGTAACAGAATTGTGCACTGAAGCCTTATAGAGAGTCCAAGAACACTTTATGTCTGGTATACCCTTCCATTGCTTGGCAGCATTACTTATAAATGCTTTGGGTAAACGCTTATCAAGCATAAGAATTTATATTCTGAGAACCTATTGGAGCATTATGAAAATAAGTAAACTGAACATAAGGTTGAGGCCCGATAACATTTATGTTGGTTAATATTCTGAACACCTATCGGGGAATTACGAAAATAAAGAAATTGAACCTACACTTTGATAACATGCATGTTGACTATACACAACGATGTAGCATGTTAATTCGCCTTTTATAAGTAATTTAACATCAATCCTTTTGAAGAAAAGTCTAAATCCTTTAACTCTGGAGTTAATGAAAGTGTTCGTACACTTTCGGCTTTTTAAACGCATTTTTATGCACTATTTACGCGCGAAATTACTTATGTGAAACCTATCAACAGACTAATGAAGTCCCACTTACACGTTAACACACACACACGGAGAATAATGTCACTCCAGTATTGTGAAACCTATCAACAGACTAATGGAGTCCCACTTACACGTTAACACACACACGGAGAATAATGCCACTCCAGTATTGTGAAACCTATCAACAGACTAATGGAGTCCCACTTACACGTTCACACACGGAGAATAATGTCACTCCAGTGTTATGAGACCTAAAAACAGGCTAATGGAGTCCCACTTACACGTTCACACACGGAGAATAATGTCACTCCAGTGTTATGAGACCTAAAAACAGACTAATGGAGTCCCACTTACACGTTCACACACGGAGAATAATGTCACCTTAGAATTACGTAGCCACACAAAAATAGACAGTATGAAACAGTATGGAATGTGACTAACTGGTCACATGTGTGGTGTTCATATTAACCAGCGTTTCCTTCTTCTTTATCTCCTAGGCTATTCCACGAAGGAACAACCGACTCACAAATCGGGTCAGAACAGCTGTATAACATAAACAACACTTAAAAATGCCTTTGCCCATGCTATTCACAAGCGAATTTATTCTCTGACTAGGGTTTCCAGCTCAGAGTTTTCAAATTCCGCCCTCGGCCTGATACAAGCTGAGACAT